TGAACAGGGGGAGTCCAGTTTGGTGGCCTCGGGAGTCCATCTTTGTTATTTGCAGATGATGTGGTTCTGTTGGCGTCATTGTGCTGTGCTCTTCAGCTCTCACTGGAGTGGTTCACAGCTGAGTGTGAAGCAGCTGAGATGAGGATCAGCGCCTCCAAATCGAAGTCCAAGGTCCTCAGTTGGAAAAGGGTGGAAATGCTCTCTCTGGGTTGGGGGTGAGGTTCTGCCTCAAGTCGAGGAGTTCGAGTATCTTGGGGTTTTGTTCACTAGTGAGGGAAGAACGGAGCGTGAGATCGACAGACAGATCGATGCAGCTTCTGCAGCGTTGTGGACTCTGTACTCTGTTGTAGTGAAGAGGGAACTGAGCTGTAAGGTGAAGTTCTCTGTTTACCCATCGGTCTACGTTCCTACCCTCATTTATGGCCAAAAGAACAAGATCAGGGATGCAGGTCGAAATGAGTTTTCCCTGCAGGGTAGTTGTCTCCCTTAGAGATAGGAGGAGAAGTTCAGTTCTCCAGGAGAGACTCAGAGAAGAGCCACAGCTCATCCACATTCAGAGGAGCCAGCTGAGGTGATTCGGGCATCTCCTAAGGATGCCTCCTGGACACCTCCCTAGGGAGGTGCTTCAGGCATGTCTGACTGGGAGGAGACCCCGAGGAAGACCCAGGACACGCTGGAGAGACTATGTCGCTGAGCTAGGAACGCTTTGTGTCGTCCCAGAAGAGCTAGAAGAGGTGGCTGGGGAAAGAGAGGTCTGGAACTCCCTGTTCAAGTTGTTGCCCCTGGCTCTGGATAAAGCAGAAGCTGATTGATGGATTGACTGATAAACAGATGAGTTATGGACTGGGTGACTGACGGATGGATGGATGAATTTACTTGATAATATGTTTGAAGCCAAAAGCCCAATATAAATGAAAGGGAAAAGTGACATTTGTCCAAAAAAGAATGACATTTATCTGAATGGCATTCTGCAAATCTAACGTGTTCATTTCTACTAGAAACAAATTGAAAAACTGTCTGAAAATTTTGTTCTATTATTATAGAATAAATTGACTTGATTTTTCTCTTCATCTCATCTTCAAGCAGGCATATTTTTCTATAAAGGTTACGCTCACGTTTCATTTGCTCCAGGATGTTGTTGGTCTTGGTCTCCCTCCAGAGAGKCTCCTGTGGTCTGCGAGATATTATCACTGTCATAGGTGCCGTTCACTTCCTCTTCTGTAATGACGTCATAACCTCCATCATCAGATATGTTGCTGGGGTCTGAAACTAGGCAAAACAATCACTTGAGCTTATCAAACTTGAACAGGTAAAATATAAAAACACACATCAAGTTTGAGCTGTTTTTCAAAATCAATCATGTAACAATGTAAAAAAATAAATAAATAAAAACCTGAAGAGAATATTTTCAGTGCAAAGTCACATTGACAATGATACAGTACCATTTTTCTTAAAATTTTCACATCGATTCACATTTTTACTTCTGGGAAACTAAATTTCTCTGAGATTTTTTTCTTTTATACTCATTTACAAACCTGACCTGACACCAGCTAACATAATTAGCTATCACACAAAGGATTATTACTACAATTTTGTTTTTATTTACATTTTACCCAGTGGTCAGATTTGCTTTTGCAAATTAACTTATAGAAAGTAAAAGCAAAAAAGAAAAGCTCCTTCTCTAATTTTAAATGTGGTTTCCTTTCCGTTTGTACACTAAATGGTAACTTTACAGCTCAGGTTTCAGTGTTTGTTCCTCATTATGGTAAAGTCCTTTCACTTCTGCCCACACCTCTCCAGTCCTACAGTGAGGCTGCGGTCCAAACAACAAAGTGCTGGTTTGTGTTTAATGAAAGGAGGATTTCATTTTCTTCTAAACATGTCTCACCCGTTACTCTGGGAGTGGGTTTATCRGGAGCAGGCTCAGGATGAGGAGGCGCAGCTCCAGGTGGAGGTGGCGACACTTCTGCAGGACTCAGTTCTGCGTCTGTGAACCTCTCCACCACCGGGCTGTGCTGCATGTAGCAGTCCCTGCAGCAGCGCTCCTTCTTCCCGCTGTGCTTGGTCATTACGAAGTTGCTGCTGCAGTTGTAGCAGAAGATGCGACCACAAAGTCTGAAACATAAAAAAAAAATAATAATAAAAACACAAAATGATGCCCCCAAAAAATTATATTTTGATTTCAAAAATGCATGGTGTGAGTGGAGGCAGTCGGCTCGCCTGCAGTGATGTTTGCGCAGAAACCAGGTGAACTGGCCCTGGCAGTCGCGGCAGTGAGTGGCCTCCTGATCCACCAGCCACCAGCGCTCCTCAGCTCGCAGCTTCTGCTCAAACTCCAGAGCATCAGATTTCTGCCACAGAGCATCTTTGTCCCTGATGCAATCAAAAAAAAGACAAAATACATCAGTGTTTGTGTCCTCCTGAAGTATCTTAAAGAGGCGATGTTATGTGCTTTCCAAGCCTATATTTCAATTCTATACTAAAATAAAGTAACTATGTCACATTTTCAGCTTATGAAAGAGCTACATATTTGTAAAAATCCCCAAAACAATTTACTTCTCATCTTGACAGTTTCTAAACATCTTGAAATAGGTCTCTGTCTCTTTAAGAAAATCCAACCACTTCGGTCACGACCATTTCAACACGTAGCCTGCCAGAGTCGCGGAGCGGGTGGGACGCACCGCCATGAGGAAGCTCGGCTTAAAGACACATCCCAGAGGAGGAGCTTGTCCCAAAAGGACACAACCCAGAGGTGTTTCTGGTCCCCACCTGTCGTTTTGCTCCTCAGCATGGCTGCATAAAAACTCTGCAGGATTTCTCAAACATGCATGAATGAGTCAAAGCAAGGCTTTGGGCATGTTTTTTATGAGAGTGTAACATTATAACATGATATAAAACTCAAAAAAGTTGATTTTACATGATATTGCCCCTTTAATAAATGGGACCCATCACATTGAACTGAGGATACAATCACTAAGTTGTATGTGGAGAAARAGTGTATAGTGAATTTGATTGCTGTGGTCACCGCTGCAAAAAATAACTATTCTGATACATGATTTTACACAAAAATGTAGATTATATTGTACTTATAATCCAAAAATGATGCAAACAAAAAAAAAGCTGTGTCTGCATTACAAAAGACTGCAAAAGCCTGAAATTGCGAGTGCACATGCCACAGGAGTACAAGAGAGCTTTAGGGGTGACAACAGTGTGTCTGAGTTTACAGAAAAAAAAAGAATCAGAGAAAGATGATTTTTGCAACAGTAGAGGTTATTCTCCACACTTCAGCTCTGACCTTCTTTCACAATCCAATCTCTGTAAAGTGTTTTAGAATTAAAAAAAAGCCTTTCCCTCACATCCTGTGTCTAGGAAGCTGTTCAGACCTGGTGCTGACAAGAATCGTGGCTGATTGGATCACAAGTGGACCGAGCTAAAAACAAGTGTGAACAAAGAGTTCTGCCACCTCCCAAACACCCATACACTGATGGATAACACAGCACACTCCTATAGATGTGATTTAAACACATTTCAAATGTGTTATTCTGTGAATACTGATACATTTCAGGCAGTGTTGTATGAAGTACCACAAAGTGATACTTGAGTAAAAGTACAAGTATTTTACCAGAAAAAGACTTTGGTAAAAGTTAAAGTCTCCTTTAGAAATATTACTAGAGTAAAAGTCTTAAAGTACCTGATATTTTCTGTACTTAAGTATTAAAAGTAAAAATATTGACTTAAAATATGCAGTTAGATTTTCTGTAAGGACATTTATTAGGAGGTGACCTCCCTCCAAAAAAATGCAGAAATGACTATATCGTGTTAAAATAATTTATGTTAAATTTAG